AAAAAGAAAAGAAAAGAATTGGAAATATTGTCATTTTGGATTTTTTTCCAAACATGCTGATATCTTCCTCGTTTTAGTTTTAGTTAAAACCTTGGTAATGGTAACTGAATTCTCTGTTAAACCTAAATTACATTAAAACAATTTTTTTTTGCTAGTTTCATTTTGCATACTACTTCCACTATTGAATTGTATTTCTCTTAAACTGAAGAGGATGTAGGGATTTAACCCAATAAACTCATCTATTTTTATCCAAAGTCACTACCGGACTAAAAGTTTTAAGTTCCTTTCCCAACAGATTTTAGTTTCAGGACAGTTCTCGTTATTCTACTTTTTCAGATATAGATTTTAGTTTTATTGCTAAATAAGTGAGTTACGAAAAAAATCTCATTCATAAGAAGCACCATCTGGATTATACATTAAAATATATTTCTGAATAAAATAACTTTTAATTTATTAATGTTTAATTGTGAAAAGGCTGAGAGTCCATGATACAGTGCATTGAAATAAGAACAGATATGCTCCAATAATATTGTAACAGTGCATTAACTTTCAATGCATTAACTTTAGACGATACTCAAAAGCCAGGATCAAACTATCAGTAGTATCAGATGATACTAAAGTAATATTGATCGTTTTTTCTAGTTATGTTTTTTATACTTGCTTTCCTAATGAGATATAAAAGTATCAACTTGTAAAAAAAAAGAATATCACTTATTCTATTTTTCTTCTCTTTCCTCTCTCTAGCAAATGAAGACATTATAAAGTGTAAAATGTTGCACCTAAAATTGTAGCAGATATAATTGTATTACAGAGTCTAAAATTGTTGCCCTGACCATCTCTATGCTTCCAAGCCCAGTGCATGGTGGTTTTATTTAAATATTTAATTTTGTAGCAAGTTACAAGTTACTTATATATAAGTTCTATTTTTGAACCAGTCAGAAGATTTTTCATCTAAAGATCGACTGGATTCTCCAAATATCTGGTACATTACAGATGGTCCTTGAGTTATGACTGAAATAAGCCTGGCCGTTTACAGTCGTAAGTTGTTATTATCATACAACCATTTTCAAGTTTTTATGGTGATCATTTTGCAAAAGTATCATACCATGTGATGGCATGATCACATGATTGTAGGATACTGCAAACAGCCATGAAGGCAGCTGTGTTGTCAAGCACCGGTCACATGAATGTATGGAGAGCTCAACCATTGGAATTTCGGATCTGGTTCCTAAATCCACTTTTTCCAGGTAGGTTATAACTTCTAACAGTCCCAAAGCAAGCAGCTGACATGTATGAGACATGCAATTGCTTCTTTTGAAGTTCCAGTTGTGGAATGCCTCTCCAGGGAGATACCCTTTTCAGAGCTATCAAAATATAATTTTTATTTATAATTTTTGTATAGTTATAAAGTCTATATTATGAACTGCATTATAATAGTTAATATTTATATATAATTTAGACACCAAGGTGATAGTTAACAACTTCCTTGATGATCAACTATCAACAGGTGATAGATAGATAGATAGATAGATAGACAGACAGATAAATACAGATTGACAGACAGACAGTCTGGAGAGGTAGCAAAAAGCAAGATGGGGTGTTTTTTAATATACCCATTATAAAATGGGTGAGGCACTATTACATAGCTGCAATATCTTTTTGACCCCTCTATTTAATCTTATTTTTTAATTTTCTATGCTGTGTTTTGTATTGCTTGTAAGCAACCTAGAGTCTCTGTGAGCAAGTAGAAAATGTAAATTTTCTAAATAAATAAATACTGCTATATACAAATAAGGTAAAGGCTCCCCTTGCACATACGTGCTAGTTGTTTCCGGCTATAGGGGGCCGTGCTCATCTCCGTTAGCCAGCACTGTCCGAAGATGTCTCCGTGGTCATATGGCCAGCATCACTAAATACTGAAGGCACATGGAACGCTGTTACCTTCCCACCAAAGTGGTCCCTATTTTTCTACTTGCATTTTTACATGCTTCTGAACTGCTAGGTTGGCAGAAGCTGGGACAAATAACAGCTCGCTCCATTATGCAGTGCTAGGGATTTGAACTGCCGAACTACCGACCTTTCTGATCAGAAAGCAGTGCTTGATATTAATCTGCATTAACCCTCTGAGAATGAAGACCTCTTACCTAAAGGTTATGGTATATAATATACTATTCTGGTCCAGCAAAATTTAGTCATTTTTTTAAAAATTTTATAAGCCAGGCCTGGGAGACAGTGACTGAGTTAATCACCCAATCAATTTCTGTACCTAAAGGAGGACTGGAATCCAAGTATTTCCATTCCTAGCCCAATGTATTAGTGCATAAATATGTATGATACATAGCCCAGAAATAAATGGATTAAAATTTTGTTGGTTTATTTGATGTAATACTTCTCTTTCTTTCACTTACCGTCACTGTGCTTGATCATTTAATATGTTTTTATTATATATCATAACTATATATTTTATAGAGATCCAGTCCTACTTCCATCTTTGGCACAAAAACAGCTGGATAATTTCAAATCAGTTACTTTCACTCAATCTGCAAGTCAATATCCTCCAAACAATCCTTCTGCTATTTTGTTCCAAAGGCAATTGAATTCTGGGCTGTTACAAAACACTACACCATTATGTGTTTTGTTTGCCTTTGCTAAACTGTTCTGCTATGCATTGCAAAACAAAGTTAACAGCAGGATAGTATCTAAGCTGAGGCAACTATGGTTAAATTATATGTAAACACAGCATAGATTAGCACAGGCTAGCCTGCTTCTTCATTTCTTAAAGTTACTTGTTGCACATTTTAATGCCCAATATTATCTACGAAGGGCAAAAGAAAGCATATAAATAAAAATATACTTTACTGGAAGATGATATTAACACTTAACTATTAGACCAAGAAAAAACTCCTTGTCAGTTCTTATATCTTCAGCAACAGCTTCGAAAACAATGAAAAGCAAACAATATGTATCCTACCATGATTACTTGATAACATTAGTTACAGATTATAAAGAAATTCATAAAGAAATTCTGCCAAGTAATGCTTCGATGATTAAAAGCTAGCAACTCCAAATTACTTCCCAAGTTATTTATTAAACTTGGATGCCACCTGACTCTCAAAGACTCCAATAAAAAAAATTACAACAAAGTCAATAAACATTAAAACATAAAAATAAATGCAAGAGAGATGAACTAGGGCTTTTTCCTTGATACCTCCCCTCCCATTCCATTTACAAGTTTATTTCAACATCCAAATTGAAAAATGGCATGCTTAAATAACTGTTTCCTAAAAGAGAGCCATATTAGCATGTCTTGTAAGATGCATGGCTTTTCTCCTGGCTCTTTCAGAAAGGCCTAGACCATTTTAAACTTTTAAAAATTTAAAACATACTGAAAATGGGGTGTGTGTGTGCAGATATAGTTAAAAGAAATCTTCCATGGAAGGCAGACAGGAGCAAGGCATCTCAGCTGCTAAGTTTTCTGTTTCAGTACCAGAATCAATCAGTTTTGGGCAAAAACACGACTTTATTTTCCTTGATGGAAAGAGCATCTATGAAAGAAACCTCCACCCCTTTTGCCCGGGATGGCTGATAATTGGCTACTTGGCTACAATGGAAATTACAACTCCTTCTCTGGCATTAAACTCTCCAAAATCCACCCAGAATAAGTCTAAATTATGTCCAGCAAATAAAGTGACTATATGTCCTTTATTAAAAATGTCCTTTATGATAAAGGACAACCCTTTATTTTGGAAAACCATCTTTCAGATTTTGAAAAAAAAAAATTGCTTTTGCTCCTGAACTTTCCTTTCTAAAGCAAAATGATAAACAATTAATTTTAAATTGTAATTTTAAATTTTTAAATTGCAAAATTATAAATAATTGTGCTTTCTAAAATCTTTCAGATTTGCCCTTTTCTGAGACTTGTCCTTTATTTTATTTTTTTTCCAAGAAAACACGGTCGCTTTAGATAGAAAATACGATTGTTGTAATGTTAAAGGTTTCTGTAAATCAAATGACAGCAGCAAGTTCAATCACGTGACCTTCCCCACGTGCTCGCAAGCAGACAAGCTGGAACTTCCAGAATGACCAGACGGAAAGATTTCAAGTAGGCTGTCGGAATCCCAAGTGAACCGAACCTAAGAGTTATACTTGTAGGTTTTTTTATAAAGAGCTCAGGCTCTCATATGACTGGGTCCGAATCCTCCATGAGAATAGAATAGAATAGAATAGAATAGAATAGAATAGAATAGAATAGAATAGAATAGAAATATATGGAGTGGAGTGGAGTAGAATAGAGTAGAATATAGAAAATAATAATAGGATAGGATAGAATAACTTTATTGTCACTTTGAATGTACGCTAATCGGCATACATTAAAATGAAATTTCGTTGCATGCCGCTCTCAAAAGGTCACCACCTCTAATATACACTTAGGAATCCAAGTACTGAAAGCTTTTGCTGGTTTTAACATTCACACATCTTTCCGATTTTTTTTAAACAATGGTTTTGATTCTCACCATAAGCCAGCCAGATAAACATTTTCAATAACGAAACTATAACTATCATGTTAAAAAAAAAATTCTAGTTGAGCCACGCGCTCTCATTGGATCCCACCTATTCTGTCATATTTTTTTTGAAAGGTATAGGAACCTGCAACGAAGAAAAATAAACGCGCGGGGAGAGTTTGCGTCTCCAAAAGGTCAAATGTATGCCTGCAACTCTTGCCTTCCGTATGACTTTCAAGGACCTCCGCGGCCCAGGGGTACCTTTCTTTAACTTGCTGAGCTTCACAGGGCTGCATTTCTTATGCCAGAAGTCCACGTGCCGACAAAGAGCCGTAGTTAGACAGCTACACCTTCTTTCTCCAACATTCTTACCTCTATGCTTTATTCTCACGACAGTGCTTTAAAAAAAAAAAAGAACATTCGACGCTTACGTCACTTGACGTCTCCTCCCCCCCCCCTTCCTCGGAGTGGCTGGGAGTTCGTCGGCGTGAAGCGCAGAGCCGCCCGAAAGACGCATGCGCGATGGGTTGGTTGTGTTTATTAACCGGGAATGGCTAGTAAAGGGTGGAGGGTTGCTTGGCGGGGCTCGGACAGTTAAGCGCACAGGTAAGTAGGTGACGATGGTGACAATGGGGGAGGAGGTGTCGAGTCTTCGTCTGGCTGGCTTGCCCTCCAAGCCGAGATCGGGTCTTCTTTTGAGGTTGAGTGATCGCTTCCCAGTGTGAAACCCAGGGGCTTTCTTTCAACTTATTGAACCGGTCGAACCTCTTATGGGAACGATCTGCCTGAGAACCAAGAAACGACTAAATGAGGTTGGGGGTTGGGGAAAGAGAGAGATAGGGAGATCACCCTTAAAGTGATGGTGTCTGACTGGTTTTGCTGGCTTCCAGTGCTTCAGAAATAAAGATGGATCACGGGAATGGGAAGGGAAATTAGGGGAGAAAGTATAATATCTCCAACATAATAGGAAGGAAATGCAGCAGGGGTAACTAAGTCTGGCAGAGATGATAACTGGAGTCCAACTCACAGACGTTTCTTTCTGGTTGCCATCAAAAGCTATTCGGTCTGAGAAAACTGGCTGGTCTCCTTTTGGATCTGAAGTTAATTGTAAGATGTGGGTTTCTTGGGAGGAAGAGAAAAGAGGTCTAGGGGACACAATATTAATATACATACGTATATTATTCAATTTTTATACATACATATACCGTGTTTCTCCAACAATATGGCCTCCACCAATAGGAAGGCCCAGCATGTTTTATTGGCATAAAATCAAATTAAGCCCCTCCCCCCAAATTAAGGCCTATATTAAACAGGTGAAATGGGGGGGAATGGCAGGGGGGGGGCTTGCTGTTAGGAAGTACTTTTGTTGCATACCCGGATATGGTGCTGCCTGTGTTGGTGGGGCACTTGGTATCGGGAGACCTTCCACCACCGTTACTTTCCCTTCTCCCTTGCTGCCGTGACGTTTAGAGCAACACTGCGGTGTTTGGCGCTGCTGCGTGCGGCCAGCCAGGGCTCCTCCCTGCAAACGGAGCCCTGCAGAGACACTTGGCTTCAGGTGCTCCTGTCGCCACCTTCCCTTTGCCTTTGAAGGTAAAGCCAATTCTTTTAAAAACGACACCCTAGTACAACAAAGCCTCCCCTGCCCGAGAGGGCAGCCCAACCCCACTTGGGGAGGTGAATCTCCCGGGGCCGCAGCGCAGGATCGGCCCACCCCGGGAGAAGCACCCAGCCGCCATCCCTGCCTGGTGCCGGGCAGAGCGCGAAGAGCTTCGCCTGGGGCACCCAGCACAGCTGAAAGGTGGGCCCTCCTTCCTGGCGCCAGAGCTCTTGCCAAGGCAGCGAGCACCTCCCTACTGGGCCCTCCTCTCATCCCACCAGGCCCGCGCCGGAGCTGTGCAGGCTGGACAGAGCTGGGAAAGTGAGCCGCAGGTGCGCGCCCGCCTGCCAAGCAAAAGAGCCGGGCCGACCCAAGCTTGGCTTCCTTCCCAAGTCTCTCCAGCCCGAACCCAAAGGGGCCACCAGGAGAGGCCGCTGAGGCAGTGATAGCGCCCACCCATCCGTAGACAGGGAGGCAAGGCGACGGCCTGCGCCATGTCCTCCACTGAGCTGAGCCCCGCTGAGTCAGTGCCTCTGCCTGATGCCTGTTCCGCTGCAGCGTTTGGAGCTGCCAGTGCGTTTGGAGATGCGTGGGGACGGGGACGGGCTGGGTGAGGGGTGAAAAGAATGGGGGGGCTTCAGGCTCTCTCCAACGGCCAGGGAAGCAGCGCTGCCATCACCTCGCCTCCCTGTCTGCGGATGGGTGGGTGCTATCACTGCCTCGGGCAGCCTCTCCTGGTGGCCCCTTCGGGTTTGTGCTGGAGGGACTTGGGAAGAAAGCCAAGCTCAGGTTGGCCTGGCTCTTTTGCTTGGCAGGCAGGCGCGCGCGTGCGGCATGCAATCCTGGCTCTGCCCAGCCCGCACGGCTCTGGAGCGGCCCTGGCGGGATGAGCGGAGGGTCTGGCGGGGAGGTGCTCGCTGCCTTGGTGAGAGCTCTGCCGCCAGAAAGGAGGGCCTGCCTGTCAGCTGCGCTGGGCGCCCCAGGCGAAGCTCTTCGTGCTCTGCCTGGCACCAGGCAGGGATGGCGGCTGGGCGCTTCTCCCGAGGTTGGCCAATCCTGCGCTGCGGCCCCAGGAGATTCGCCTCTCCATGTGGGGTTGCGCTGCCCTCTCGGGCAGGGGAGGCTTTGTTGTACTAGGGTGTCATTTTTAAAAGAATTGGCTTTACCTTCGAAGGCAAAGGGAAGGCAGCGACAGGAGCACCTGAAGCCAAGTGTCTCTGCAGGGCTCCGTTTGCAGGGAGGAGCCCTGGCTGGCTGCACGTGGCTGCGCCAAACACCGCAGCATTGCTCTAAACATCACGGCAGCAAGGGAGAAGGGAAAGCAACGGTGGCGGAAGGTCTCCCGATATGAAGTGCCCCACCAACGCCGAGGTCAACATCCAAGCTGTTGCTGCCTGCCCACCCGAGGATGCATGGGTGGGGAATTAAGTCACCCCCGAAAAGACGGCCTAGCCGTTTTTTCGGGGGTCAAAAAAAAATAAGTCCCGGCCTTATTTTGTGAGAAACACGGTACATGTGTATGTGTGTATGTATATGTATACACACACACATATATATGCACATACACGTACATATATATATTACATCCATACATTTATATACTCATATCTATATCCATATATACACACACATCATTATATATGTGTGTGTGTATGTGTATATATATATATATATATATATATATATATATATAATCCAGCTTTGTTCGGGTATTTTCCCACGTCATTATAGCTGTGCTTTTAAAGTTGTAGCAACGTTTTAATCATCAGGCTTCTGTACTGATATACAGAAGCCTGATGATGGCAGATGAGATTCTGCCGAAATGTTGCTACAACTTTAAAAGCACAACTGTAATGACGTGGGAAAATACCTGAACAAAGCTGAATACCATACATGTAAGTACCCGCGAAAACTTAAGAATATATATATATATATGTATATATAATTTATATAAAACTAATATACAGTTGTATTTGAAAGCCTTGATTTCTGTCCCTCTCAAATTGTGTGAGGATTCAAAGTTGACACTGCCCTGTATCTGTGTGATGATCCTAGGTTATATATAAGACATATAAGCATTTTACAATATGTTTTATAATAATGAAAATGCAGTTTATGTAAACAGGACTTTAGTGACCTATTCTGTTAAATATTATTTTTTTGAGATTGCTATTTAATTTAATGTTGGTATTATTGTTATGCATTTATATCTCCCAAGTCAAAGTATGTTGATAGCCTGTCTCTTCAGTTGAATGGTTTTGCAATGTTTGCTGACGTAGACACATGTTGTCTTGCAATTTTTTTTTTAAAAAAAGTTATGAACAAACTCAGTGACTTCTTTTAGAGCTTCCAAATCTGGGCTGTAAAAATCTGCCTAGCCACTAAATGGCTGCTAAGAGAGTTTTCTGTACCTCGTTTCTGTCATCCTACTGATCTGGTATCCCTATTTGCCACCTAGGACTACATTCAACTGAATGTAATAGTAATATTTTTTTGAAGGAACATATTTTAGATGGAATGCCAGATTTCTGTACAAATATGTGATTACTTAATTAGGTGAAAGACAACCTTGAACTATCAGACATATTGACTAACCCAGGATTCTATTGTCTTACGAAACTTCCTTACGAAAGTGCAGGCTTTCTTGGGCTTGCACCATAGAAGGAAATTAGTGGAAATGCTCTGCTTTTACCCCAAATAGAAACAAAATTGGAGAAGATGGTTTTACAATTGTCGGAAGACCGATTTCTGTCCGTTTTATGTAATTACTATTGAAATATTGAAATTCTCTTTTGACTTCATGTTTTTTTAATTAGTTGACTCACATTGAGTTTATAAATAGACTTTTTCCAACAGTTTGATAAGATGAATAATGAATATGCCACCGCTGATTTTTGTTTGAGAGAAAGCAGTCCTATGCATATTAAGAACCTCTCAGTTGTTTAAACAGTCTCTCAGTTCCAGGGATGGGAGGAAAAATCAAGCGATTTCTGTAAGCAATCTCTCTTTTACCTAACGTATTCCTCTCACCACCACCACCAGTGAAAAGTTTGGAGAAAAGGGGATTACGAGAGAATAAGCATGCACAGAATGTGGAATATACCGAACCTTTTGTGTAGCATGCTACATCTGCTGGCGTTACCACTACAGCATTGCTTTTGATGTGCATTTCCTATTTGTATGCCTGCTTACTTTCCTATAATACCTTTATCTCCAAACTTTCCACTCTAGCAGTACTAGTAGGAAACCAAGTCTGGAACAGAACAATATATAATAACTGTTATGGTGATCATGTAATTGGGGGATGCTACAAAGATCATAAATGCAGATATTGTTCATAGTTATTTTTTCTGCATCATCATAACTTTAAATTGTTGCTGAATGAGGCAGTCAGTAAGTAAGGATTAACCTTGCTTTTTTTGGAAGCCTGCAGACTGGACAGTTTCAAAGCCTAGAAGTAGAGTAAGAATCTCATGTAGTAGCTGATCATGAACTTTACTATCTACACAACCATTTTATTTATGCTAAAAATTGTACTTCAAGATTTAGGGCATTCAGCTTCCGGGTTGAGTCCTTCTCGCTGACGGACCATAGATCGCGACTGTCCACGGCTATTGTCCATGCTCTTTCGTTGGAGAGCCCCGATCATTGTGATTAGGAGCTGAAGCTGCCTTGGACGGGCGGTGGAGTAAGGGGAAGCCGCAAGCCAGGTTGAGGGGAGCTGCATGTCCCTTCCTGGCCTTGGTTCTTTTCCTCCCAAAGACGACTGAAGTGGTGGTCCAAAATGGCCACCCCGGAAGAGGAGGAGGAAGCTGGACTAAGATTTGTGCAGGAGTAAAGAAAGAGGTGGATAACATCTGAGCCGGGACAATTGGGCGAAATAACTAAACAAAAGTACCCCGGGATTAAGATAACATTGAACTTTTAAGAAAAGAAAAGTGAGCAGCGAAATACAAAGGGACAGGAAAAAAATAAGAAAATAATTTTGACAGCTAAGCAGGGCTTTGAACTGGGAAAGGAAGAAGCCGGAATTAAAGACTTAATTAAATTGGACTAAAATATTTTGGCAAAAAATAGGCATAAATAAAGCTGGACTTAAGATTGTCAAAAAACAATAATAATAAAATTCACAAATTGGAGACTGGATTGCTCTGGAATATTGAGGTTCGAAAAACCCTAAATAATAAAATAGGAGAAAAAGGTGAAGACTTTGTATAACGGAGAGTGCCATCTTCTGACAAATAACTTAAACTCAAACAAAAGGGAAATCATCCTGTTTCTATATGAACTTATGTCGATATAATGTTAAAGAAATATTGAAACAAAGTAAGAATTTTAGAAAGTGAAAGCGGAACCAGAATAAAGAAAGAAGCAACGAAAACTGCCTGTGGGATGATTGATGTTTTTGGTATAGACCCTGGGCTGGAACAATTGAGAACTTTAGAAAACTTGAAGAGGAAAGAAGGAAAGTAAAAGTGTTTTTTGTGGACTTCAACAATTATAAAATATAAGAGTGTGTAATAATGATATCTCTTCGGGAATTAAGAATGGAACTTAAAAATATGAGAGAATGACTACAAGAAAGAGGCAAATCACTTTGCTCCGTGTTAGAAGAAATGGAAAGGGCGATTGAAGAACAAGAAAAAAGAACTTCAGAAGAGGAGGAGTTAACTCAAGCCATTTTAAATAGTTAACACAAAGAACATTACAAAGACGAGGGGAAAGAAGGAAGGCAAAAAGTTGAGATTTAAGAAGATAATCAAAAAGGGGAATACCTGTGAAATCAGGAGAGGTAGAAAGGCACAGCAGAAAAGGGGAAAGGAAGATATCAAGAAAGAGAAGAATATAAACTGGAATGGAAAAAGATATGGGAAAAAGAGGGGAAGGAGAGGCAGTAAGAAACAGGTGCAGGAAATAAAGAAACACGGAAATAGTAAAATGATAAAAAGAAATTGTTTTTTCAGAGATAATGGTTGATGAATTAAAAGGGGAATTCTGTAGGGTGACAAGGAGTAACAAGAATATATTTCCAATTAAAAAATACTTAGAAAATAGGGTAATATAGATTATTAATGGAGGGATAGATACTGATAATTCTTATTAGATGAATATACATTTTTATTTTTATCTTTAAAAGAAAAGTTAAGGTCTATTGAAGAAATTGTAATTATTGAAGTGAATGTGAAGATGTTTAAAAATGAGGTCAATACCAGTGACCAGGAATTAAATAGTCAATCTTTCCCTTTTATTTTTATTTTTTTGAAATTAGAAATAAAATTAAGGGGGTAAATATATTGTGGAATCCAAATGAAAAGATGTAATGATTATTATTGTAACTACTTAAAAATACAGGTTTATTGGGAATTAAGATGAGGGAATAAAAGTATATTTTAACCACTGAAGTGTCACACTCAAAGCAGTAAAAGGGGGGGGAACCTATGTTTGTTTTTCTTTTGTGTTAAAACTTGTATTAATCTAGAACTTATAGAAAGAACGTGTGATGGAAAGAAAATATGACAGATTAAAGAACTATTTTATAAGCTAATACAGACTATTAAAAGGAAGGAGAGATATTGGTAACTTTTTATTATTAGGCAAACATATATTGTTATTTTTTGTTTTTAAAATAAATATCAAAGGATTTGATTTGAAATAATTGAAATGAAACGAAAGGATGTATGGATTGAGATTAATCTAAGAGGCTAGGATTAAATTGCTTGTTTCTCTCCTTTCTGAAAGTTTGGAATGGAAAAGATAATAGAATTAAGTATGCATATATGAATGTATAACTATTATCATATTTGTATGTAAAAGTGATGCCCCGGAAATATTTGGTCCACTAAAAATGCTTTTTGTTTTTATGTGACAAACTGAATAAAATTTGTTTAAAAAAAAAAGAGATTTAGGGCATTGAGATGCTTTGTATAAACATTTTTGCTTTGCTTACTTTGCAGCACATGTTTCTTAGGTTTCAGTAATGTGACTGCTGAGATCATCATGTCTGCTCTCTGTCCTCCTCCTTCTCCTGCTGTTGCCAAGACGGAAATTGCACTGAGTGGAGAATCACCATTACTAGCTGCCACATTTGCATATTGGGATAATATTCTTGGTCCCAGAGTCAGACATATTTGGGCTCCAAAAACAGAACAACAGCTTCTCAGTGATGGAGAAATAACATTCCTTGCAAATCATACTCTCAATGGAGAAATACTTCGAAATGCAGAGAGTGGTGCAATAGATGTGAAGTTTTTTGTTTTATCTGAGAAAGGGGTCATTATTGTGTCCTTAATTTTTGATGGAAATTGGAATGGAGACCGAAGTACATATGGATTATCAATAATACTTCCGCAGAGTGAGCTTCATTTCTACCTTCCCCTACACAGAGTATGTGTTGACAGATTGACACACATTATAAGGAAAGGAAGGATATGGATGCATAAGGTAGGTTGTTTTTTATTGAAATTAGTTCTGATACTTTGCTGTAATATTTCTACTTGTTAAAACAGTTTAAGTCTGTCTCTTCTCAACTGTTAACTGTCACAAGTTTTAACAAATGGCAAACAAAACCGACTGAAGCTCTTATCTTGCCTTTAGTGTTCAGGTATCCTCCATTTTAAAAACAAACATAATCGAGTGAGTCCAGATTTAGTCATACTTTGGTAAAGCAGATGAAACCAGTGAAACTTGTTTATCATAACTAATTTAATCAGCATTCAGCTGACCTTGGCTATACTCATAAAAGAAAGCCAGATCAGATCTGTTTTAGGAGTTGGTAGAAGATAAGCAGGAAATTTCAGGACTGGATGGTATACTGGAAAAAATGCATTAATAAACCATATTCAGGAAACCACTAAGAGCTGAGATTGAATTAAAAGAGATTCTACTTTTATTTTACATAGATTTGTTCAAGAATGATTAATGTGAAACCAATTCAGGGTTTCAGAAGCTGAAATAATAAACCTTCAGGATATATTTAAGAATTCATAGCCCACTATAATGCTCTGATGTTTGTAGAATTGTGTTCTAGTCTTGATTATGTCATTTTTCATTATTTCTGTTTTTATTTTGCTTGATTTTATACTAGTTTTAAGGCTATATTGGCTGCCCAGAGTTGCAATTGGTGTTAATTGATTTAAAAAAATGACATACAGTCATTCTGAAAAAAAGTAATAGAAGTTAATTACATGCACCTGCCGTGTTTCTCTTGGGGGGAAATATGACCTACTCCGAAAGTAAGTCCTAGCTTGATTTTTCCATGTGCCCCCAATATAAGCCCTACCCACAAAATAAGCCCTAATTAAGACCTTGCTAACTCCAGAGTGCATGGGTAAAAATTAAGCTAGGGTGAGGATGGGGATGATGGAGCTTCCCTACTACTTATCTTCAGACAGTTGCAGCCAGGCATCGCACATCTCGGCCCATTTCTTCTGCAGCCAGCAAGGCTTTCCTGAAGGCCTCTGTAGCCGATAACAGAACTCCAGATCGATCTGGAGCTCTGTTATTGGCTGCAGAGACCTTCAGGAAAGACTTGCTGGCCGAAGTTCCTGAAGGCCTCTGACAGAGAAAAGGAGGCTGAGGGCGACACATGCAGGTGAGGTGAGTCAATGGATGACATTTCCCTCCCCCCAAAATAAGACATGTCTTTTTTGGTGGCATAAGAATATAAGACATATAATATATTTTGGGGAAAACATGAGTAACTAATATGCATGTCTGATGTAAACTTGCTCAGAAATATATATAGTTTCTAAGCCAGTAAGAAAAGTCTTCCTGTTAGAAAAGTGCTAAATTGGTGCTGATCAGATATTTTGGATTAGAGCTCTCCTAAAACCCACTAAACATGAAAATTAGCATGGCAGTTAATGGGTTGGTCTAGAAGCAAGGAAACTAAGGCTGTAGACCATTCTAAGCAACAGGAGTGTACTTTTTCAGTCTAACTTACTTCACTGGCTTGACATTAGAAAAAATAGGAGCATTCATTATACTTTGAGCTCCTGAATGAAAGGTGAAATATAAATAAATAAAATAGGTTGTTAATAGCCCAGGATATCTGGAAGGTCACCCAATGGCTGATTCCTAACTGATCATACGGCATAACCATTTATCCAATAATGCATAGTAAGTTTAAAAGAATCTCACTGGCTTTTTCATGTAGGATACATTAGATTGTTAATTATGAAAAACATTTGTAGTCTCTGATTTTAACATGGATTATTTATTTTTAAAGTATTCATGAGATGAATAAAATAAAACATACTTTGAGGGAAATGTTCGCAACATAATTCTAAGGTGATTGTTGATTCTAATAATTCTGTGCTCAGATATAATTCAAATGTTATGCAAAGGGAAACATTCTTGCACGTTTTGTTATAATCCAATAGGATAAATGGTAGTATCCTATTTCTGATTGCCAAAAATTTGATAGAAAGGAATAGATTGGAGAAATTTTTTTTGAATAGGTCATAATTCCCCTTGAGTTTTATGCCTGTGCAAAAATCTGAAAACATATCTCTATGTTTGGTTTACCATGCATAATTTTACTTTGTTGTCATCCGTTTTAAATACAATGATGTTAATATTTTTAAATAAAATCACATTCATATAATATCAAAATTTACATGTAAAAAGTAAAAAGTCTTTATTGTTTGTGAATGTTTTCTATTTTAGGAAAGACAAGAACATTTCCAGAAGTCTATTATGGAAGGTACAGAAAGAGTGGAAGATCAAGTAAGGAAAAACCCATATAGCAAAGCACTAACTATAAAATATGCATGCACACACACACACACACACACACACACACACTCATATTTTTTTTGAATAGTGGGTAGAAATGCAGTGATGATGATGTTATCCATTCAGTCAACTCTGACTCTTGCCGATTCTATTGGCCAGGGCTTTCTCTCTCCACATCTTCTGATCTTACACTATTTTTTTGAGTTTTTCTATGCTCCAGCTGGTGTCAACATTGATTGTGTCCGGCTATTGGATTCTTTGGCAGCCTGGGTTTTTTTTACCTCTAACTTTTCATACAGGAATCCTCGAGTTATGACAGTTCACTTAGTGACTGTTCGAAGTTATGACATAACCCCCCCCCAAGTATTTGACACACACCCAATGTTACGAATGGCAGTCGTTCACCTTTACGAATGACCGCATAGGCTCTGCAATATTCACCCTGCCTATCCCCCCCACCCCCCCAATTGGGCCAGGTCTCCATAGCCACTAGGCTTGTGGATACTTTGCAAAGATTTAGAGATCCTTCTGTTTCTTGGCCTCCTTTAGTACTTCAGGCCTTCGGTGTGTTTGCAAAGAATAGAGGCTTAAAGTACCACAAGATCTCATGTGATCTCACGGTATTTTAGGCCTCTGTTCTCTGCAAACAGAAGCCTGGATGAGATCTGCGGCAAAAGGCTTTGCAAATGGAAGGAAGGCCTGAAGCACCAAAGCCTTCCCTCCATTTGCAAAGTCTTTTGCTGTCTTTGCAAAAAGCCTTTGCCGCTGAGAACAGATCCTGGGAGGGGTGCGCAGATCCCTCTGGGCCTCCATTTACAGCAGCAAAGGCCTTTCCTCAAGTCCTGCTGAGAACAGAGCCCTGGACATAAGTTAAGTGACCCAGTCAGTCAGAATGGGTTGGGGGAGAAGTCTGAGATATCTCAGTGGGTCGAAGGGGGCTTTGGATGGTCAGAAACACCAGCCTCCCCCCCAATGGTCTTCCCCACTGAGATATCTCATACACTTAACAACCCACGCATTCAATTAGTAAATGCATAGGCGAATGCAGGGAATGATCACATTCAAGTTACATGATTCACTTCTACAAATCCGCGGGTTACAAATGTAATTGGCAGGCTCTACTACATTTGTAACTCGACGATTACTGTGATTGCTTTCTCTAATGAATTCCCTCCCATAACAGGGCCAAAGTAAGTGAGACACAGTTCTATGATTTTGCCTTCTAATGACATGTCATGGTTTTTCGTGCTCCAGAAAAGCAATATGAAGTTAAATTATATTAAACCACATACAATGTGGAAATCTTAATATTTTTATTCCCCAGAAACCATTAAGATGAATTGGGAGTGTCTTTAAGAGTCATCATTCCCTAACAAAGTAGAACAATTTTTCAAAAGATTTATACTTAGTTGAGATTTATTACATATTGAATAAGAAATGAAGCATAAAACATTTCATTTTGCAATCTCTTAACTATTAAGTACAATTCTACATTCATTTCATTTTTTAGCTTGCTTCCATCCTAGATCAGATTACATCATCTAACTTCTATTTCATTAACCCACTGATTTAAAAACTTACACATTTTCACTCTCGATTTCCTATTTCTTTGATAGTTTTAGAATAAATCCGAAAAATTAGTTTTTCAAAATTACTTATAATTTATCTTTTTTTTCCTTCAAAAACCACTTAGTTTCTAAATGGTCGTTTCTTACAATTTTGTTAAACTCAACTACTTTATTTAATAAAACTTGTATTTACCCTACAGGGCCAGAGTATCATTCCAATGCTGACAGGGGAGGTTATTCCTGTGATGGAGCTCCTATCTTCTATGAAATCACACAGTGTTCCAGAAGAAATAGATGTAAGTCTTTATGTGAAATCCATTACTAAAGGAGGGGAGCCAACTTGATGTAGCAGTTAAGACACTAGGCTAGAAATAAGGAGACTGAGTTCTAGTCCCATCTTGGTCACCTTGTGCCAGTCATTCCATCTTAGCCCTAGGAAGAAGTCAAGGGTAAGAAGGCAAGCCAAGAAAACTGCAGGAACTAATCCAGGCAGTCACCAGAAGTCAAAAGCTTACTGGACAACACGCACACATGTACAAACACAGCATTAAAAAGAAGCACCTGACTTCTTTTGCTCTTTTTGCTACGGGCAGTCCTCGACTTATGACCACAGTTGAGCCCAATTAAATAAGACAGTTCTTAAGTGAATTTTGCCCCACTTTATCACTTTAGTTACCACAGTTGTTAAATGAACCAGTGCGGCTAAGTTGGTAACAGTTGTTTAATGAATTTGTCTTCCCCATTAATTTTGCTTGTCAGACGGCTGCAACCTTATCCCAGGATACTGCAGCTGTCGAAAATACATGCCAGTTGCCAAGCATATGAATTTTGATCATATGACCACAGGGATGCAACAGTTGTGTGAAAAACGGTTATAGGTCACCTCTTTCTGTGTCATTGTAACTTTGAACCAGGGGTGGGATCCAACTGGTGTAACTACCTGTTCGTTGGTTTACGTTTCACGCGCATGTGTGAAGTGTCAGCTTGCTGCCTGGACAGCTGAGCAGCGCTGCGCAAGGGTGCGCAGTGTTTGAAAAACCATTTTTTCCCTGCTTTTTCAACCTCAGCTGCTTTGCATGGCACAGCTGTGGTTGAAAAAGCAGGAAATAAAGGTCAAGTAAGAGCCCGGGTGGGCCAGAGGGCCAAAACAGCAGCAGACCTAGAACTGATTCTAGGTCTGCTGCTCTTCAGAGTACCGGTTCTACAAAGCCGGACAGAACCGGTAGCATCCCACCCCTGCTTTGAGCGGTCATTAAATGAATGGTTCCAAGTCGAGAACTACCTGCATTTTGAATTCTACTTAGGCAACTGTTAATGTGTGATAAACAATTTGTACCTTTGCCTGCTTAGAAGTGTAGAATGTACAGATTTAAAGTCAAAGCATGTACTTTAAAGTCCCAGCAGATAGCTGACTATCCCTGAAACTAAGCCAGGTCAAATCTGGTTAATCTTTTGGTTGTGGAGCTCTTGAAAAGTCCAGGTCTATTAACTATATTGGAAATTTAAGAAAAAAATTGAAAGAAGGCAACAACAGACTGTTTACGCTGTCAATAAGAAGCATTGATACAATCTCCACCATTTTAGTTTTTGTCTTTTTGAATAGACAAACTTTTAGTGTGCCACTTTTAGTATGCCTTTGAACATGTGAATATGTAGGATGATGTCAGACTCCAAAAAACTAAGTAAGAAACCCTGAATTTCTTAGCAGTTTCTTTTGTTATTTTACACCCATAGACAGAACTATTGCCAAACTAAAGCTATCTGCATCATTAGACATATTCTTAAGAACGCCTAAAGAGGAGCTGTCTTGATCCTCTTCCTCCCAACCAAACTATCTGAATTTCGCTGCCTCTTGGTTCCCTGCAATGTAGCACTTCCCCTCTTAGCAATCCATCTACATTCCACCACAGATGCCCAGTTTTATCATGTGTTGGTGAGAAAGGGCTAGAACCTCACATTTGATAGACAGAAACTAAAAATTGAATACGAAATTTGACTAATAGTACGCTCCTTAACGCCGGCAGAAATGCTTATCAATGGTGGCTGCAGTGTATTCTTTTTTTAACATTCTACTATGAGCCATGATGACGCAGTGGTTAGAATATAGTATTGTAGGTTAACTCTGCCCACTGCCTGGAGTTCAACCCTGACCAGTTCAAGGTTGACTCAGCCTTCCATACTTTCGTGATCGGTAAAATGAGGACACAGATTGTTGGGGGCAATGGGCTGACTCTATCATAGAGAGGGTTGTAAAACACTATGGACCAGTGTATAAGTCTAAATGTTATCACTATTGCTATGAGAAATTTTCAAAAGATGTTGAGATCTTTAAATTTTTAATTGTAATCAGATATGTTGATATATCTGTGTCTATGAAGATTCTCAGTCATCTAGGTCACAATTGTATCAGAAGTGGTTTTTATTTTTGAAAAGGCAACTGGACTGATTTTTTTCGAGGAGGAAGAAGACATTTTGCTTCCTATCCTGGAAGCTTCATGCAGATGGAAGGATAATACTGTTATACTGTCAATAACTCTGTCTTTGCTTTTTCAAAAATAAAAATCTGTGGTTTTCATAATAACTAACCTTGTTCTTGTTTTTATTATATTCCAGATATGTGATACCGTGCTTAGTGATGATGACATTGGTGACAGTTGTCACGAAAGTTTCCTACTCAAGTATGTTGTTTTTATTACACTTTTGTGAAAACCCATTGAAAGTGGAGATGGAAGTGGAGAGTAGGAGCAGTAGAGAGGGGACTTGTTGGGATCGAAATTGATTAGTTTTTGTTACAGAAAGTTAAAGCAGGTTTTTAAACAGAGCCTAATTTCTTTTTTTAAAAAATGATAATATTTTTAAGCACAAAAGACTTCCAAATCCTTTGAGTTACGACCATAATGAAGCTTGCCCATTACAGTTGTAACTCATAACAGTTGTAAACTTTTACAATCTTTTTGTGGAGGTTGTTAAGTGAATTGTCACAGTAAGCCAGTGAATAGTTCACTATGGATGTAGTTTGCAAAAACCGGAAGTACAATAAGTGCTAGTTTTCAGCCAAAATGTCATAAAATGTGATGGGATAAATCGCAAATGTCATGCAACTCCGTTGCCAAGCTTTTGAAGTGCAATCCGGTGACCGTTGGGGAGGGGAGGAACCCTCAGTGTCATTTGTGAAGAAAAGGAATTATCAGCTAAATTGGGTTTGCAGTTTTCTTCTTTCACACTTGCTTTCTATGGGGGAATCCTACCCCACCCCACCCACAAAGAAATGAAAAGCTTCAGGCTAAATTCTGATATACTTTCTGATCGAGCTTCATTGTGCAACAAGCAAGGAGTTCAGAGGATATTTTATTTTTTATACTTTTTGTTTTTAGAATTCATATTTCAGACTAATTATAAAATATAATTAATGGCACTAATGATAAGTTTATGAAAGGATTTTTTTAAAAGTTTTGATTATGGTTGTTATGAACCTGAGGCTAGTAAGAGCTGCTTTCAATGAAATATGGGTCTTCTCCAAAAATATGGCTAGCCGTTCTTTCCCCTAGCCAATTTTCCTCTAGGCAGGCAGTCCTCAACTTCCAAGCAAAATTGAGCCCAACATTTTTGTTGCTAAGTGAGACATTTGTTAAGTGAGTTTTGCCCCATTTTACCATTTTTTCTTGACACAATTGTTAAGTGAATCACAGTAGTTGTCAAGTTAGTAACACAGTTGCGAAGTGGATCTGGCTTTCCTATTGACTTTACTTGTCAGAAGGTTGCAAATGCTGATCATGTGACCTTGGGACACTAACCATCATAATTATGTGTCAGTTGCCCAGAGTCTGACTTGATCACATGACCATGGGGATGCTGCAACGATAGTCATAAGTGTGGAAAAACTGTCATAAGTCACTTTTCACTGCCATTGTAACTTCAAATAGTCATTAAATGAACTGTTGTTAAATTGAGGATTGCCTTTAGATGTAACTCTTGAAAATGTATTTGCAAGTTTTGGTTTGCATATGTGTTAGGGATACACCCTAGCAAGATCTGCAGGGCAGTCAGGCAGGCAGGCAGAATATGTGAGATATCGTTTTTTAGTAGCTTACACTCAGTAAACAGAGGCACAGTGCTAATTAAATAGTTTTATTCCGGCAAGAATTAAAGCATAGTCAAAACAGTCCATATATCATTCACTTAGTTCAGTCCGTCCAGGGATTATTCAGTTGCAAATTCCAGTGTCGAAAAAGAGAGGTCAGTACACTTACAAATATCAGTCCGGTGATATATCTCCTCGCAGTAGAGAGATATGAAGAACTCAAAAACTCCTCTCTTCCTTCAGCAACTCTTCAGTAGGGGAAGGACGCAGCTAACAAACCATCAACGTAATCCAATCCAGTAATTGTCAGTAATTGCCAGCAAACCGTCAGGGAATCGTCAGCAATCAATCAGGTTGTCTTGCTCCCTCTTATGGTGGTTTCACACCACACCCAAAATTACATGCTTTGCATTTAAAGTGACACACACTTAAACTAACAATCATAGCTTATATATATTATTTTACCCAAACTTCGTTAGGTGACCTATGTTATACCTAACAATATGAATACGTGTGAACTCTCAGATTTTAGATAAATGGCAAAGGCTCTTTTAAAAGACTTTTAAAAAATGAGATTCTGAAGTGTGCAAAATTTGTTCCAACTTGTAAAACTTAAAAAAAAAACATTACTTTTTAAATCTCTGCTTAATTATTCAGGGCCATAAGTTCACATCTGCAAACCTGTGGTTGCTCAGTTGTTATAGGAAGCAGCGCAGAAAAAGTTAATAAGGTATGTGTTTTCTATATGGCGATGGAAAATACTTCCCAGATAGGGTGTTTTAATTAAAATCATAGAAGTAATAGTTTTATTTTTTGTCTGCAGACAAAAAAGGCTTTGGCAGAAGTTAGGGGCTAAAGGAAAAATCTGCTTACTGTAGTTAAATTTTTAGTATCAACTGATTCAATTTCCATATAAAAATCTGCCGTTTCCAAATCTTGTCTTGAGGTTGAAATTCAAGAATTCCTGATCTGATGCGGAAAAGTCTTGCGTGAGATTTGTATACGAGTACTATTTATATATTTGATTTATATCCTGCTTTTTATTCAAGAACTCAAGGTGGCAAACATTTATCCCATAACCACCACACTTTAAGGTTAGATCAAGAAAACTAACATGGTTTAGCCCTCTTAGTATGTATACAGGGAATTTTCTAGGAAATTCAGGGTTGAAATTTAGTTGGCAAGTTGAAAATTTTTAAAAAAGTAAGTGTAAATTACTTATGTAATTCTTCCCTATATAAAAAGTAACCTTAGAAAATGGCAAGTAAGAATTACCCAGTTGCTGTACAACAGAACTGTCAATCTACAAAATTTTTCTATATTATTTCAGTATATATGCATATTTCAGTATATATTTCAGTATATATTTATTTACAGATAGTACGGACACTATGCCTCTTTCTCACTCCAGCAGAGCGAAAATGTTCTCGCCTTTGTAGAAACGAAACATCTTTTAAGTATGAGTCAGGTCTATTTGTGCAAGGGTTATTGAAGGTAAGATGTTTTCTTTCCTCACGCATACAGGAAGGTCTCAATTAGTGCTGATAATGAACCCCACAAAATGGTTGCATTATTCAGATTCGCACTATTCCAGGCGATATTTCTGGGGAAAATAGGCTAATCGTTTCCTGCTTGGTGGATATAGGTAATGAAAATGTCTAGACATTAATTTTTATGCAGTAATGAAATACAGCAGTAAAAAAATTAAAATATACTTACAATTTAAATTTATTTTAATGAAGTCAGTAGTTATAGAAAGCAAAATAAAAACAAAATTCTAAATTTCGTTCCTAAAGGTAAACTTACCCTGGCAAAATGTCTTTATTGGCTGTCAAAATATTTTACCAACTTGGACAAATTGGTTTTCTCTTTCTTTAAATCTTCATTATAACCTGACATGAGGCTTTCTAGATAGATCTTATAAATATTTAAAATAAATAAATAAGTGAATAAAGGACAAGCTGGAGAATAGACCCATAAGCAAAGCATACTTGCTATCACCTATATTCTCCTGTAGTTCTTCAAAATGAGCCTCTTCTGTTTGGAGCTTTCCTCAGCCTGAACCTTCTTTTCTTCATTTTGCATATGAAACAATTAATATCTAAAGCCGCAAAAGCAAAGGTACATGTGCTGTCCTCAACCATGTGTGTGCTACCCTCGCATTAAATGCGACCTGGTATCAGTTTATATTTTACACCTAAATTGAGTATTGAACCATTCAAACTAATCAAAACCTACGTGTATTGTTAAAAACCAAGCAATAAGAAGTCCCTTTTTCTAACTGAAACAATTCTGCAAGTAAATGGTTACAATATTTTCTAGATGATCTCTTCCATCTTGCTTTTTCCTTTTAAGTAGACTTCTAAATATTTCAACTCAGCAGGTTTTTTCTAATGTCAAGAAAATGTAGTTTTCAATGACATAAACTATTCGGTTATCTAAGCCTGCTGTTTTCTTAATTTACTGTTCATTACAGTTCATTTGACTAAAGGGAAAAAAATTAATATCTTTTGTCTTTCCTTCTCAAATGCACTTTCTCTTCAGGTTAGAATATTATTGATGCAATTATTTCTATTTTTAATTTTTTACTTATATTATTACCTTGACCTTACAAAGAACAAAGCTAAGTTTCATTTGCTTTAGATTCTGACCTCTTATCCTTCATTTCTAAATGTTGTAACATTAAAAATAAAAGGAATAAACCAGATAATTGCATGAACAAAAAGTAAGACTACCATTTTAACCATATTTCTGACTGAGGTAAGAAGGGCTGGTTGTATCATTCCCTCAAGGAACTGTGTAATGGTTGTAACTGAAAAGCTGCCCAACATTGTTGAGGTAGACGCACAAAGAATTCAATTTGAGAGTCATGATGTATGTGTGTTTGGAAAGAGGTTCCAGTGTTTTCATTGTGATCTACACATTGTGAGTTTCTGTAAAGTCACTTCCAGTTTGACACATACTATGTGAATGAAAAAACTTCAGTCACTTATGTATGGATGACTAAGGATAGCTAAGGTTTGTGAGGGACTGTCGTTGGAGTTTAATAACTGCAAAGTTCAGTTAGCTCAACTATTCTGTATTTAATACTACAATCTTTACTCAGAAAATACATGTTTTGTGTTCACAGGGAAACAGCAATTTAAATCCAAGTACTAGCAATCGTATTCCATTGAATTGAAATAAATTTCATTTCTGAGTATCGATGCATATTTTTAACAGTAGAATCTTGAATACTCTCAGGACACAAGTCAAACTTTAAAGGGCAGAGTGACAGTTGTTTGTATATTATGTTCAAAATGATATTTTGCATTTTTAATTTTTGAACTTTTATTGTGGCAGGATGTGACTGGAAGCTTTGTGCTGCCTTTCCGTCAAGTGATGTATGCCCCATACCCTACCACACACATAGATGTAGATGTTAATACAGTGAAACAGATGCCTCCATGCCATGAACATATTTACAATCAACGACGGTATATGAGATCTGAACTAACTGCATTTTGGAGAGCTACTTTGGATGAAGAAATGCCTCTGGATACCATCATATATACAGATGAAAGTTTTACTCCTGACTTGTATGTATTTTTGAGGAGTTTACCAAAAAGTTACTTGGTACTGTCTGTTGTGAGTAAATACAGTGAGCAGACATTCGAATATAGATGATCTCTCTCTCTCTCTCCCTCTCTCTCTCTCTCTCTCCCTCCCTCTGCAAGTGGTCACAGGGGTGAAAAATGGTTATGTCACTTTTTCAGTGCCCTTCTAACTTTGAACAGTCGCAAAATTAACTATTGTAAGTTGAGGACTCCCTGTACTTTGTGCACATGGTTTTGGGTAAAATGTAGAAGGTGTTTCCCATTGCTTTCTCTCGCACAGTATGACAGATGGCTTTGCCATTGTCACTAAGATTCTAATTCCAACACCTTTCAATATTGCCTGTGTCTGTTGATAGCTGGGATTACGTTCAGGCCTTGGGTGACCCTTCTAGAAGTATATACTTGTGGCAATCACTTCTGACCTTCTTACTCATACCTCCCAAGAACAACCTCCCTGTCCCAATGAGATAGCAGCAGTAGTGGTGTGCTACTGGTTTGCTCCGGTTCTGTCCTATATTTCCTTTGTTTATAGCTCAGCTGATAGTCACGGCAAAGCGGATTGCCGTGCCTCAACTCTTTTACTTACCAATGCTGATGGTAAGTTTTCATGCTTAAAATTGCCAGTTTTAGAATGCTCCCCACGCACCCACAGAACCAGTAGTAAAAAAATTTGAATTCACCACTGAGTGAGGGGTGGGGTAGGTCTGATTTTTGTCTTCCTTTTGCATGTTAATAGCTGAATCAGGCCAAGGCCCAACCTTGGTTCAATATCTTACTTCTCGCCCTGAGCTACAAGATGCCTGTGAACAAAATGGAGGCATAGTCCTCTCCTACAAATGTTCCTCTGGAACAGCAGAAACCCTGTCCCCAGTTTGCAGACAATACTTGATTCTCAAGACTAATAATCCCTGATAGACCGGTTCTCTGTGAATTTATCTAATTCTTTTTTTAAAGCTTTCCAGATTAATAGCTGGCACTTTTTCTTGTAATGAATTCCAACTGTTTATTCTTTGCTATGTGAACAACAGTTTTCTTTGTCTGTCCTAAATCTTCCTACATTTAGATTCCTGAGTGATTCCTAGTCCTGGTGATTTGAGAGAGATTATTACTTCTTGCCCGCTTTCTCCATATTATGCATGCTTTTTTAAAACCATTTTTATTATGTCATCCCTCATTTGCCCTTTTTGGCGAGTTAAAATAGTCTCCAACGTTCCAGAATTTTATCTTTTTATGCTTTAATTTGTTCCTCTGTATTTCTGCAGGAATGTTTTCCAAGATGTTCAGCATCAAGACACTTTAGTAAAAGCTTTCCTAGATCAGGTAACTTTCAGTTTACTTAAAACTACCATAATAATATGGCATATTGCTTAAGTATTCCTTTTGCATAATTTTCCATGAAAAGAATAATTTAAGAAAGTGTGTAATGTATTTTGGGTACATAAAGCAAGGCTGGGGAATTCTCCAGGTATTTGGGAATAAAATTTCATAATCCCTGGCCATTGGTCATGCTTGTTTTGGTGTATTGGAGATGTAGTCCAAAATATTCCAAAAGATTGCCTATACAATCATATAAGTTTAATAAAAAATAAACAAAATAAAGGCAAAGTATGCAAGAGAATAGGAGAGTACTAAGGGAACTCCAGTTAAAGATTTTTCATGGTGTAATTTTTGTGTGTGCCGATTCTCAACAGGTCTTTCATTTGAAACCTGGATTGTCTCTAAGGAATGTATTTCTTGCACAGTTCCTCTTAGTCCTTCACAGAAAAGCCTTAACTCTCATCAAATACATTGAAGATGATACGTGAGTTGTAAACGTAAAGGGAATGATAGGGTTGGCTATCTTGTATTTTGACGTAGTTGAAAAGCTTTCCGGTTAACCACATCTTTGTTCTTCAACTTACAGGCAAAAAGGCAAAAAGCCTTTTAAATCTCTTCGTAACTTGAAGATAGACCTGGACTTAACAGCAGAGGGCGATCTTAACATAATAATGGCTTTTGCCGAAAAGCTCAAACCTGGTTTACATTCATTTCTTTTTGGTCAACCTTTTTATACTAGCGTGCAAGAACACGATGTCCTAATGTCATTTTAAAGACCTTTTAATATGTGCTGGTTACAGCCTCATAATATTATTTGAAAAGTTTTTGTAAAGGGAAAACAGTGCTTCTCTTCATAATCACGTGCTGCTTGTCCACTGCAACTGAATGTAAGTTTACACTACAGCCTGTAGAAGGAAGAGGGAAAAGAATTTGCTTTCAAATCTATTCACCTTAGGCAGGCTCACAGGCTCTACTTTGCTTAAAGCAGGGGTGTCCAACCTTGGCAACTTTAAGACTTGTGGACTTCAACTCCCAGAATTCCCAGCAAAGCTGGCTGAGGAATTCTGGGAGTTGAAGTCCACAAGTCTTAAAGTTGCCAAGGTTGGACACCCCTGGCTTAAAGTAAGACTGTATCATTATGTGCGGTCAGAATGCTAACTGGAACTTTCAGAACAATAAAAGCAACAGAAATGTCTTAAAATAGTTTTTGTTAGAGCACAAAGATAGTTTTTGTTAGTGTTTTCATTTTTGTTTTTACTTTTGGCATTGGGCAGAATGAGACATTCACCCCTTCTCTATTTTGAGATACTAAACTATAAACAAGTGTCATATGCTGACCGAAGATCCTAATTTCCAAGGGGTATTTGCTTTAGATAGTACCAACTTCCTTCTGTCACGCTTTTCAACAGCTCCTAGAAATTGTGGCAGTATCTATTTAAATATAGCTATAAAACACTGTGCTTAGAAAAGTCACTTGGATAATTGGAATTATCCAATTGGATAAATTGGATATGCCTGGAATTGGACATAATCCTGGAGAATATTTTTAAATTAGTAAAGTGTCACCAACCATACTAGTGCCCAGCGGATCTACTCTGTTGCTAGTTATGTTAGCATGGATGTTACACACAGCTTAATGACTGATCACAGTTGTATATAATTAAAGAACAAAGTGAATGCAAAAGTTAAGCTAAAGAGGGGTTAAGTAACTTTTGTGTTCTGAATGAAAGCCAAATAAATATGCTTATTCTATATGTATGAATTGATGGATGGTAACAAAATTCTGCTTTTTTCTTAAATGACATCAGCTTCCACTTGTTTTGTACAGGTCCTCTTTGTGTCTGCATGGTATTAAATATTTATATTGATTTTATGATGCAGGTTTCATAAAGTAAAAAAAATCTGAATATCTGCTGCTACATGTTTCAGTGAATTTATTATTTAATTACAGTGAAGGGAAGATGCCAAAGGCGGGTATATTTATGTGCAATATGTATGTGTTTAATATGGTTTAGGAAATGCACTTGTCAAGATTTAATGCTGTTTTTCAGCATTCCATAATATGAATTTGTGTTCTCATGGAATCTTAGTCATTTTTCTTGATCAGTTTATCAGTGGTGACTGAAATGAATACATACTGTTTTTATTAAAAAAACAAATCCCCATTAACATTTACATCTTGTGAGTTTCAAACTTTTCCTGTTAAGGCAATGAACAAGGCAGTCTGTCAATATCTGAATGTCATGGTTCCCTAGATCTCTGAATCTTTATTTCTTTTCTAAAAGGATGTACTGTTTTGCATTGGGAAAGCTATCAAAGCAATTATAACTTGATGGGGGAGGGTGAAGGGAAATCTTCCTTCCTCTTAACCAAATATGGAATAATCCCAAAGTGAATACTAAGTAACTTGATGATAAGAATACATTTTATCTCAGAGTAAATAGTTTCAGGTCATAGTTGTGCTCAGCTAGAATTAAGAAATCAAATAGTCCAGTAATTGAAACTACTGTATAACTAACTATATGTGGCGTTCTGCATTCATGAATCAATAAATGGAAAATATTGAAAATAATGAGATGGTGGCTTGTATTCCCCTAAGTTGAACACTAACTCCAGAAATTTTACTAGTTGTACCCAGGAGTTAAGGAATTCTAGAAGTTATACAGCCACGCTTGAAGGACGTTGCTCTTATTACTGACTCTGCTAAGAAGTATTTGGATTTTTCTAGAATATTGGTATAGTAAATATTCGAGAACTACATTTAGAAGTTTACATTTTCAGAAAAATCTTATGATGGTTCCAGGGGTTAGCTTAAAATAAGTGTACGCAATTGTAGCCAACTGTTGAAATTATCATTGGCTAATTCATTATCTTAATCGATATTCACTGTTCATGTATTCAGTTTGTCTGAAATAAGACTTTGAAAAGTTATCTGGCCTTCTCTTCATTACAGGTTTGAGGAGGTGTTTGTAGGTCTAAACATCTGACGGGCACAGGATTAAAAAAGGTTGATCTAAGTGTGATACATTGTAGGTTTTTATGTATTTTTCATGCTTTCAGTCCTTAAAAAAAGAGAGAATACATGAACCCATTATTTCCTACTTCATTAAATGACTCTTTGAAAAATGCCATAAAGCCTTTAATTTTGTTTCAACAGTTTACATAGGTTTACATTCTTCTGAATATGTATACAAGAATGTTACCATGCTCAGTCCACATTATTCAATCCTATGTCTAACTATATCGTGATGTATTTTGACAAATGCAACTGAAATAACAAAACAAATTACAATATATTTATTTCAACATCATCTTTATTCATTATGGAATGTAAATACTAAAAACTTACCAAATTTTGATGCACTTTTGTCTTGCATGTTTATGTAACAAAATACAGTAGTTATGTGACCTTGATCTGTGTTCCATGTTATGATTAAACATTAAACTATTAAAATATTCTGGTGGCATTTTTAACATTTTAAAGCAAGACTATCTTTCCTCCTGTAAGCTTTAAGCAATTTTTCAGCTGCCACAAAATTCTCTTTTCTTCAAGATAATTAAAACAATGATATTCAACAACAGCAAATTAGACTTTCACAAAAAGTGCTTCATTGGGCATGTTTCACTTCAGGTAGCCCTCAATTTATGATGCATTCCCCTCCAAAAAAAAGGCTATTTACTGCCCATTTTCAAAATTAAGAACCCATACGCAGTCCTGTGGTTGCATTTTGGGTGCTTGGCAATGATTTCATCATATGTTTGCAGCGTCCTAGTCATTTAACCACAACTGGGACATTTTTTAAAAAAAAAATCAGTTTAAATCCAGGATTAGTTACGATCATAAGTCAAGGACCAGCTGTATAAAAATCATATTTTAAATAATATTCTAAGACTTATAATCAATCAGAACCATACAAATAAAACTGAAATGGTGGTCCCCAAATTTAACTACACATAAAACCAATAGAATCAAAAAAATTAATTCCTGAGCGAATAAAACACTCTTTGTGTAAAGTTGCAACGGCAACCTCTCCACAGGGGTAAAAAAAAAAATCAGTAAGTGGATCACAGTGAAGAAGAATAGTTCCTCTGTATTATCTTCTCTGGAAAAGACAGGAGAAGTTGCAATAGATACTGTACAGGGAGCTTCATGACTAAGGCAGAAAGCCCAGTTTCTAGCCTAGTTTCTTAACCATTACACCAAACTGGCTCTCATTGCAGATACATGTACTGTGTTTAAAATGAAAATTGGGGCTGTATTGCTAAATGACATGGTTGTAAAGTGTGCTTATTACACGATCGTGTTAACTTACAGCATTTTGGCTGTCTCATGTATTTGCTTGTTTCCCACCTTTATTATTTTTATAAATAGCTCAAGGCAGCGAACATATCCAACAGATCCTCTTTCCTATTTTCTTGACAACAACCCTGTGAGGTGAGTTGGACTGAGAGTGAGTGATTGGCCCAAAGTCACAGATTGATGGCTAAGGCAGGACTTCAATTCGTAGCCTTCTGCAGTTGCTGCTGTTAAGGTGGATTCAGTGCTTGTATAGCATCTTTCATTTGTGATCTGCTGGCTTGCCTATTGACTTTGCTGATCAGAAGTCCAGCAAAGATCCCAAATGGTGATCATGTGACTGCAGATCACTGTGACTCAAAGTTATGAGTCGGCAAGGTCACATGACTACAGGGACATTGGAATGGCTGTAACTATGAGGATCCTTTGTGAATCCCCCTTGTTCAGTGCCATTGTAATGTTGAATGGTCTCCAAATAGGGGTTGGTCAATGAGGACCACCTATCGCAGTCATAAAGGAAGAATTGTCCTACCTGGGTTCATCTTATCATTCTTGGTTCTGACGGAAGAAAGAAGAGGTGTAAATATCATGCCAACAATTCTCCAATTAGGCATTCAAGTTTAAACAGTTTGGAAACCCAAACTACAGATTTTTCATGTGATTCACTGGAATTAACTTTTGCAAAAAAAAAATTCTGTATAGGTTAAACTCTTTGAGTTCTCCCTTTTTCTTGTTCATGGGTAGTCTTGAATTACAAATACTGCTGAAAAATAGGAGATTAAGAATTGTTAAACAGGTATGTTTACAAAAAGAACAATGCAATACTGATTAGTTTTTAGTGTGCATTCATGGAATTTGTGTTGGACATAGTATACTTTGATCTGATCTGATTAAGCATTTTTCTTTTAAATAAGCATTGTCCCTACTCCAGTTAGTCAGCAAGCTAAATTTCTCATTCCAGTTAAGAAATCCTGAATTCACACTCTTGCTTTTTAATTTTAAGATTAGTTCAAGGGGATCCTACAATAAAAATGAAGAACAATGGAAAACTGAAATCAGAAAATTGACATGAAGTAGCTAATGGTAGATACCTCAAAAAGCAATTACTAGCTATGTAATTTTTGTAATTACTAGCTATGTAAATTCTGCCATTGGCAGGCTGAAATAGGTATTTAAAATTTTCTGCCTCACGTTTCAAAACAATTTAACCAAATATGGACATTTTGGGAGAGATGATACGTCCTACATAGAGCAAAATGTTGATGGTATTTTACAGTTTTTCAAATTTTTGTTATATTAGACAAAAGAAAAATATTCCAGCTTTTGAATCTGAAAGATGAAGTTGAAGGCAATCTAGTTGAATTCAACTTCTAGTGACTGCATTTAGATAATATTGGCAGTATTACAAAAGTGTTTTGTCATTTTCTTCCAGTTGCTTTTTCAACTTCCTACTCTACAATGTTTATGTGTGCGTTTATTGACCTTTTATGCCACTCATCTCCCCATAAGGCGACCACAATCCTAGAATTCTTGGATAGTTCTTCAAATACTAAGTCAAGCTATATAGTAACTTGAATATTTTTCTTTTGTCTAATATATCACAAGCTTGAAAAACTATAAAATGTCATCAACTGGAAGTAAGTAGCCCTAAGACATTTTGCTCTCTGCAGGACATATCATCTCTCC